TTCTGAACAGATCTAATTTAATTATGTGTGAACAACTGCAATGACTTCATATTCCTTGAATTTCTGCAATTTTTTTGATTTTTTAAGATTATAATTATTTTGAGATCAAAATTAAAAGCTATTTTTTTATATGCTGTTGCTATTCACTTCATCATTGGTTTTTTTTTTTTCATCTTAAAAACATTCCATTTTATTTTGTTCTATCCTGTAGTGTTTCTCTTTTTCCACTCCGCTCTTCCCACTGTTGTCCTTTCTTCCCTCTTAATTTTGCACTTTTATATTCCATTTCTATTTTTAAAAATATTCAATTTTTTATTCAAATAGTATTGACTTTTGAGCACCTTTTTTCTGAAGTTTGGAGTGCAACTACCAATTATCGATCAGATAAAAGATAACTTATCTCCTCTTTCTTCCCTCTTTTCCATTCCCCCTCCTCTTCCCAAAAAAACAAAAAAGAAAAGAAAATTAATGATGTTTTTGCGAATTACAGACATGTGTTTCGAGAAATAATCGTCAAGATCTTTTAAACATATGTTATTAATTGAAACTTTTATGACGGATTTCTAAAATTCAAATATTGGATTTTTTTTTCTGCTGACAAAAGAGTTTTAGAAAAAAAGGAAAAGAATTGGATTTCAGAAATCATAAAATAAATAAAGTGTTATTGAAGAATTTGTTAGATTGAGAAAAAAAAAGACAAGTAATTTAGTATCGCTTTATAATTCATTGCTTATTTCATTTGATTTTTGGGATTGAGCTTTTTTTTTTGGTGAATTTTCCAGTAATATCAACTCTGATAAATGATTGTGGGAAAGATAAGAAGGTGGGGGGATAAGAAATAAGAAAACAAAACAGACAAGAAAATGTGGGGAAAATAAGGAGGTAGCACTTATAACTAAACTTTAACGTCTAACTTGATATTTGCAGGTAATGGTTTCGAAATTCAGATGGAGAGCAGACTCAATGGATGCTTTTTCATACTGCTGATATGTTAGACGCTAAGAAAACGAGTGTATTTGGTGAATTGGTAAACTGATAAAATAGTTAATTCTAAATTTCAGTTGAATTAAAAGTCTGTCCATAGTATGAGAGGTTTTTTCTTGGTTTGTTAGTAACAGTAAATAATATGTTGTGGTTATAACTAGTAAACTTCATATGCTCACTGATAGTTGTTAAACTTTTGACCACTTGTTTTTTACCAAACATTCAAATCCACTTGGTGATTTTCTTTTTCTAAGATTCCAAAAAAAAAAAACTTGTCATTATTTTCATGTTCAGATGTCATCCATATATTTTCTATCAACATGAAAAGTGTTTAGTCGTAGCTACTTTTAATGTAAGATGGGAAATTATCGTTTGTTTACAATATGCTTATCATATTTTGTCATTTTAGACACAAATAATATGATAAATAATGGGATTTGTTTCTTTAGAAAGTATTTGTGATAAATTCTTTTTCGTTCTCTGCACAATCTCACTGTTGATAGTACCTTATCGAGAAATCGTTTTAAATTACAAATTTAAATTTAAATGTTGATTAAGTTATCTTCATTATATTCTATTGATATTAGTATTGTTGTTATTGTTGTTAATGTTTTGAAATCTTGTTGTTCAAACAAAAATTTATTTGAAGAAATCTTCTTGTTTGGAATATACATAAAATGAATTTTATGCTAAACATTCGAGATATTCAGCGATCAATTTTTATCTTTAAATGTTCGCTTGATTATTTATGAATAAAAGTATAAAGTGGAAAAAGAAATTTATTAATTGTTCAAAATTTATCCGTATAATTAAATTAATTTTGCTTATAGAGCTGAAATGATATGGTATTATTATCGTATGTTGATAAATGTTTTTCAGGTTTTTTTCTGCTTTAATTTCACATAAGCTTATTTGCGCTACTATAATCTGTATCTTATGAATTTAAGCTGTAACTAATTGCAGAGTTATTTGGTTCATTTCAAAATTTCGTAACTTTCTTTTTTTTTTTCATCAACAGATCTTCTAAGATTGATTGATAATATAGCAGCAAAAGCAATCGAAATTGTTCAAACAAAAAAAAAAGAAAAAACGATAAAGGAAAATAACTTTGCATTATTTATTTAACTTGCTATTAACATTTCAAGGAATTATATTGTCCAGTTTTGTATCCAATCAGATGTCACCATTTTATCCTGATTCTATATTATACATTTTTTTTATCCTGATTATATCAGATGTCACCATTTTATCCTAATTCTATATTTGTTAATCATAATTTTTAAATTTATTCATTTAAAAATTTTTTCAACTCAATTTACACAAATTTTTTGTTTGCTCAAATAACTATCATAACAATGATTGAACAAACCATTCGTCATTTTAGATAACTGTCAATAATTTGTTTACAGTATTCACAATAAATGAAATTCATGCAAACAAAATTCGGATCAATTTATCCATATACATCTTGATTTATTCAATTTTATACTTTACTTTACTATGTACTATGAATATACCATACCATATCATACCATATGAATATACCATACCATATTTAAGTCATATTATACCGTACCATATACCATATCATACATTTTTCCAGAAATGTTTATCACTGATAGCTAAATTTAATCACTCTGTTCATTTTATACTTATGAAATGAATTCATATGAATCATACAATTTTTCATAACGGAAAAAAAGAAAAAAAAATTCTGACTATGACGAATTAATTTGCTACAATCAATGGAATACCATAATGTTTAATATCTATTTCTACAGTTTGCTAGAAAAATAAACGGAATCAAAATTTTTTTTTTTTTTCACTTTGATGACATTTATGACTCAGAGGGTGTCGAATTGCGCTATTTACACAGAATATATTTGAATAACTTAGAAATTAAAAATTAAATAAATAACATGAAAGAATGTTTAATAAATTAATTTGTAACTACCATCAAATATTATCATTTGGAATCGGAAAAGTATCGCTTGTTCTAATTAGTAATCAAGTTAGAATTTAATTTCAATGAAATAAATATAAAGAAGAAAAAAAAGGATTACAAATTTGTCTTTTTTTTCCTCCAAACTTTGTTAGCATTAATTAATGAGAAATGTTGAATAGTTAAAAAATAAATTTTATCGTACTTCTTCATTACATGATAAATACCGGACTTAATTTGACATTTTAGGATTTTCATTCTTTTTCTTTTTTTTTTTTGGTAATTCGTCAACAGTTGATAAAATACTTTACAATAAAATGTCAGTGCAAAACAAGTGGACATTTTTTTTTTCTCTTTTTTTTGCTTTTTTAAATTAACAGCCATTTGAGTGAGTCATCTTTCAACAAAAAAAAAAAAAAGAAAATTTTGAAAAAAAAAGATTTGTTAAGGAAATGGGAAACAAGTTTTTGAAGAAATGAAACTGTAAACGAAGCATTTGACAATGTGATGACAAAATCTCATCCAATAAATGATTTATTAATTAAATCTAACCATTACCTTCATCTTTTTTTTTCATTTCAATCAATAAAGAATCGATTTCGGGTATTTCAATTGATTACATCCTCTCGGGTACAGATATTGATAAGATCGGGTATTTCAATTAATTACATCCTCTCGGGTTCGAGTAGTGATGAAAAAATTTGAGAGAAAAACAAAATAAGAAAAATGGTATGATATTTCAAATTTAAACATGAACAAGCAGAATTATCAATGTAGACGAATATTTTAAAGTCTCGAAGTTTGCTTTTCTACTTTTTTGAAAAATTATTTTCAATTTCAATAGAATTGGGTAAAGAGTAACAGATGATATAATAAAATAGAAATGGAATGAAAAAAAATCATTTTTATTTTTAAAAAAAAAAAGCTAAAAAATTGAAAAAATTTCTTTCCAAAAAAAAAAAATTTCCTAAAAAAATAGAATAATCTAAATGAAATGATGCGTCAATGTTATACAATATTTAACTTTTCCATTTTTTTTTTTTACAATGTGAATCTTTAAATTAAGAAGAAATCGTTGGTTAAATTTTGATTTTTAACTAAATTAAAATTTTGAAAAGGATATCATTAGGAATGAAAGCACTTGAATATATATATATATATATATATATATATATGTATATACGAAATGAAAATCATGTACTCAAAATAATTATATATTATTTACCACAAAAATTTGTAAATGAAAAGACAAAAAACTTATTATTAATTTATTATTATTAAAACTTATTATTGTCACTATTTACTATTATTAAAGTTTATTATTATTATTATTATTATTATTATTATTATTATTATTATTATTATTATTATTATTATTATTATTATTATTATTATTATT